TTCTACCAGTACAGTGGCTTTTTCTGCCTGCATCAAACATTTCATTGCACTTTCAGAATTGTTATAATGTTCATTTTTTTCTACAATCCCCTCAGCACACATTTTTAAAAATTGGTAAGCAAAAATGAAGAGGGAAAACACCACCTTCGATCTTCTTCACATTTTGAGGTCTGTGGTTCACAACCATTGTTGCTTTTGATGTTCTGCCACTGTTGAGCAAAGCAAGCACTGCTAAATTCTTACTTGCGTGTTACATTTATATCCCATATTTTCCTTCAAGGAAGCTGAGGTGATATACACAATCCTCATCCTAGGTCTATGCTCTAACGGCCACTCCATACAATGCTTATTAGTATCAGGATGCACAACTAATTGGAAGGGAGCACCTTCCAAATAAATATCTGACAGTAGAACCTACCTTGTAAAATATTCCAAGCAAAGCAGAACATTCTCCTCAACTGAATAATTTCTCAGCTGTGTTTTCTCCTTAGAACTTCTCAGAAGAAATGCTTGACACAATGCCATGTAAAATGGTTAAAAACATAGTAACCTTTGGAATTACCATCACTGACTATTGGCCTCTGCTATACATTACAAAACAAGTGGAAACTAGGTGAAGGTATTTTTCTTCCAAGAAATGTGTCCATATGCCAGCACACTTATATACTTATTAGCAAGGTTTTTCTTCATTCTTCAGTGGAAGGAAAACAACAAGCAACACAAAAATATTAAAAAATAGGAACATTTCTAGTATGCCATACCAAAGAATGCCAGACAACGTTAAATTGCTGAGTACACAGGCCTCTACCTAAAAAGTATCTCTGTCAATTATTGCTTTACTTTCTAAAAACCATGTAAGGCAGCTATAGAAGTAGCCAGAAATTTCAATAGGCTCTCACAAAATAGTCACGCTCACCTTGGCCAAAGCCACATTTTGAGTTTGGTGAAGAATACTGCAGCAGAAAGAGTCAAGCATCTTTGGGTACAGCATTCTAGAATCAGGGTGTTCCTCTGCTAAAGAAGCTACCCAGGGAATGCCTCCATAGAAGATCTTAAGACACTGAAAGACTGGTATGGATCCTTTGGAAAACGGAATCTGGGACAATAGCCTATTCTTCACACAATACTAATATCATTGCAGTAAACATGTAAGAAAGACTGTCTGTGGTACTAATGCTGACACTGCCACTGCAAGCAAGAGCTCTCTCCCTTGTAGTGGCAGTAGTGATGTAACAACAAAACGGCATTCACTTTCTGCATAGAAGAATCAGAAAAAGGGCCTGTTAGATGAGACCAAGGCTCCAGCATTCTGTTTACACAATGGCCAGGCAGCTACAACCAGGAAACTCACAAGCAGGACATATGTCAGCAACATAGTCATCCTCTACCTCAGCCTTCCTGAACATGATGCTCTCCAGATGTGCTGGGTTACAACTCCCATAATGGCCAAGCTGACTGGGAATTGTGTGAACTGTAGTTCAATACATCGTGAGGCCACTGGGTTGGAGAAGGATGAGCAAGTTCTTGGGAAGCATCAAAAGTATCAAAAGACAATATTCTCATTAAAATTAATGTTCTATAGAAAGTAACAGCAACAGCTGCAGAAGAGCACCTGCTCCCCCCCAACACACTCATGAATGACACATTTGCCGCTGAAAAATATCGCATATTGTTCAGCTTTTCAATCAGCTAATTTTATATTCAGTCTCCATTCTTCAGTGGTTCCACCAGCAGAAGCCTCATGAAAAACTGAATGGGACTTATGTCACCAGACCAGTTTGATGCACACTGCTTTTAATGTTTTATAATGATGCCACACAAACAATGTGTAGGGAAAATGACTGCAGGAGAAACCAAACCAAACCAAACCAAAGATCCCTTGCTTGAGCAACAGAACTTCCATACAGTGTCATCTGAAGAAAGGAATGAGAGAGCCTTTTGAAACCTCACCAAATGAAACGAACAAACGAGCCTTTGAGGCTTTCAGAAGGCAAAGCCAAAATTCTGGCATGTTTTCACCTAAGGTGGACAAAGCAAGTTTATAACCATTTACAATACAATAATTTAGACAGCCATCACTGGAAGAGGCTTGTAAATTCAAGCCACTTTGAAATGCCTAATGACTGATTTCACTCAGTCAAGCAATAAAGCTGCTTGACTGACCTCAGGGTCTGACAGGTTAATCTATTCTGACCTTTTCTTTATTCCATAATGATGCTGAAAGATCACTTGAATAACTCACTGTCATTCAACAATGGCTCCATATTTCCCCTTCGGCACAGCAGAGGGCTCAAATGTGACTGTTGCTGCCAGATTTTCAAAGCCGTGTGGGATAACTAAGACTGTTTTCTTCAAGTCTGTGAAATAAAACAAATTGCTTTTCCCTCCCCTTGCCTCTTCAGTCTGTGTGCCATTTAGAACATCAAATAGGAAAAGCAACTTTTCCCTATTTGCATAACTGTTTTTTAATGTGTAATACTGGGGGACAAACAAGAGGGAGTAGCTGTTATCTTTGTCCTTTCCTTACACACATCCAGATACAATTTGTCTGGCTTTATATATACAAGTCTTGGCATTTGCTAATTTCTGAGAGGAATAAGGAACTATCAGGATGCTCCAATAGTTTAAATCTCTTTATTCAAATTTGGAGGGGGCGGTGAAGGAGGAGGAGAAAGAGATAGCGCTGCACTTGATTCTTTGCTTCTTTGAGATAATTTCTTCAGGCCCAGTCCCAAGATATTTTACTGCCTAAGGCACAGCAGTATATGTTAAGGTGCATAGAACCCAAGAATGGACAAGTTATTTCAGTGCTGGAGTCAGAAAATCTCACAAACACCTCTGACTAAAGATGGTACAACAGCACATTACTCTGACCATGCAAAATTCTTTTGTGACCCCTTAACCACCTCACTATACCTAATGGTAGGGCCAGTCCCCATCTAAACAGATGCACAGGAAATGGCCCAAAGTGCATGTACAAAGATCAGCTGCAATAACAGGAAATCAATTAATCCTTCATGTATTACATGAAGAATAGATATCTGTTTAAACATCTGGAAGGTGTGGGAAAGAGAATGTTATTTTCTTCATTTTTTGACATGTACTAATTTCTTCATGAAAAGTACAGAATCACCTGAGATTTAAAAATAATATTTAAAAAAAATGAATGCAAGAGAAAGTGAACCAAAAAGATTTATCCACTCTTAGCATGTACCTTGTAACATCAACTGTGTCAACTGTTCTTTTTAACCGCTGTGTCTAATGGACATAGATATTGAGGAGCAGGGGCCAACTGTAAGTTTTAAATATTAAGTTTTTGCAGTAACCAAGTAAGTGTAAAAAATTGTCACCTCCATATAACAAGGGTGTAGCAGTTATATGCTACTTCTCAAACAGCAGCAAAACCGATTTTGTACACATGATCTACGAGGAAACACATTTTATTCTCTGTTGTTCTATAGAATATAACAGGCAGTGAAGGACTGGAAAGGACCCATGGCAGGGGCGGGGGGAGGGGGAGGAGAGGGGCAAGGAGAACAGGTATCCAATAAATGGGGGAAAGATAAATATCAGTATCAGTAGATATGAATTCTGATTCATTTTGGGGGAAAAAATAGCTCAGTGCTCTTTGTTGCAAGGCCTGAGGCCATTGGTGGATCCTAATCCTAGTGAAAGGAACCAGTGCAGTTCTATGCTCTCTCTTGCTCTCTCAGGATTCTCGGGAGAGGCTCTTTGGCTTTGTCTTGCCATGGCTTAACAGAGGTCTAGCATGACAGAGCAACTTCTGGGGGTGGTGAGTCAGGAAACTTGCCATACATCGGTTAGAAAGTTGCTGGTGGGAAGGGAAACGAAGACAGAGGAAATCTTCCAATTAGCTGTAGTGGCAGGAAGAACCCTAAGAGCCTATGAGCAGTTGGATGGTCAAACTGCAGCAGTGCACTGCATAGATGCCAAAGTGGAGGGGAAATTGGATGGATGGGGAGAGAAAGATGGAAAGAGAGAGTGCATGGAACTATGACATTAAATTCTGAAGCAAGAAGTAGACTACATCTCTCTTGCAAAGTATTCCAGTCCAAGAATCAAATAAGCCTGTCAGAATTCGCCTCCTTGGAAGGGGAGAAGTAAGCATGCCCTGCTGCCTGGAGTCATCTTCAGCTACTGTGACTGGAGACAAAATGGCTCCTGCTCCAAAAATAATGAAGGTCACTAAAACAGCTCTTCGTCACAGGACAGTCTTAGATTCTAGTGAACAAGCAACATCTGGAATTTGTTTTCTTCAACATTCAAACTATGATGTTGAGCCTGAAAGTATGAACCAGTGTGACAAATATTATAGTCTTTGGTTACCACAATCAAACACAGAGAGACTAAATCTATTCACTGCTATGACTCATGATGGGTAAATGGAACTTCCATGTTCGTATAAGTCTGAATTTTACAGGATGGAAGAAACAGTGAAGAAAAACTGTTGCTTCCACATCTTGCTTTAAGCTTTCTACAAGCAACTGGTCAGCCATAGTTGAAAATAGGAGCATGGTCTGGATCAGGGCTTCCAACCTTTTTAGACATTAATGTTGATAGAATGTCATCAGTGCTTTCACAAAATGACTGCAATGGAAGGTTTGATCATTCATAAAATGCCCATTATGGGAATAGCTGTTGACAAAATGTATTTATTTTATTTATTACAAACATTTGTATCCTGTCCTTCTGACAAGAGCTCAGGACTTTTTTGGGAAAGTGAACTGGTGGAACTAAAAGAAAAGCAACCAGCATGGTTCCTTGTAACATGCCAGCCTCCTACTCAATTAAAAAAACCTTGTAGAAAAAAATGCAAAACCAAAAGAATCAGAGAAGCTGTTGGGCACCAAAGGCAATGTCTGTGAGCATATTAGTGCTCATGGGCACCATACTGGAGACCCCAGATGAGCCAACAGGCAGGTTTTCATGGATTTATGTACACATGGAAAAATTCTTCATAATTTTGACAATGTTCTTACCTTGAAAAGCAGTTATATGACCAACAATCATGTATTTCAGTTCAAAATTTAGTGTCTGGATGTTTTCCATTCTCTCTCTCCGAACAGCTGCTTGATAGCTTTCTTCCATCTTCTTGGTGCAGCATGTTGGTGCTCTTTGTTGACAAATCTGCAAGTTTGACTCTAGCAAAAGAGAGAAAGAGAATTTTAAAAAGTACTCCCACACATAACTTCCTCAATAAATACAGCCAAACATACAATATTTCTTACAAATAAAGTAATATCTAGGTAGAACAGATACAAGTCATAAGAAGTTTAACAGGTCAAAATGTCTGTACACTTCAAGGGTGCAACTTCTAATTACAACTTGATGTTCATTAGCTAAATGCTGCAGTATCCAGAATCAGATATACCATTGCCACTGGATCCCTTTCAAGCACAAAGTTTGCATTTCCTTTTTACTATAAAGACAAGAGCTATATTTTTTACACATGTATATTAACTTATTGTGCAGTCATGGACATGTGCATGCAGGTTTGTGTGTTATATGCTGATGATACCCAGCTCTACCTCTCGTTTTCCGCCAATCCAGGTGAGGCAGTGGCCGTACTGAACCGGTGCCTGGCCGAGGTAATGGGCTGGATGAAGGCCAATAAACTGAAGCTCAGTCCAGACAAGACGGAGGTCCTGTTGGTTGGCGGATCGGGCTTCAGAGAGGGTGAATTGAACCTAGTCCTGAATGGGGTTGCACTCCCTCCCTCTTAGGGACAAGGTCCACAGCCTGGGAGTGCTCCTCGACCCGGAGCTTTCATTGGAAGCTCAGGTGACAGCAGTGGCGAGGAGCGCTTTCCTTCAGCTTCGGCTGATTCATCAGCTGCGCCCCTACCTGGAGTACGACTGCCTGGCGACAGTGACACACGCGCTGGTGACTTCCCGCCTTGACTTCTGTAACGCGCTCTACGTGGGGCTACCCTTGAAGACGGTCCGGATACTTCAATTGGTTCAAAATGGAGCTGCCAGGCTGCTGACGGGGACTGGGCGTTATGTTCACAAGACTCCAGTCCTCCATCAGCTTCACTGGCTTCCCATTGAAGTCTGGGCCCAATTCAAGGTGTTGGTGATGACTTATAAAGCCCTAAACGGCTTGGGTCCTGGTTACCTGAAGGAGCGCTTACATCCATATACACCTGCCCGCCCGCCCCTTGAGATCTGCGGGAGAGGCCCTTCTCCAGGAACCCTCTGTGAAAGAAATTAGGAGGGTAGGTACTCGGAGGGCTTTCTCTGCGGTGGCACCCAATCTATGGAATGCGCTCCCCAGAGAGGTCCGCCTGGCGCCGTTGTTATTTGTTTTTCAGCGCCAGGCGAAGACCTTTTTATTTAAGCGTCATTTTAATTGTTAATATTATTTGCTTATTTTATCTGGCCAGGACAACTTATTTTATATTGTTATTTCTTGTATTTTAATTTTATGTTGTGAGCCGCCCCGAGGCTTCAGCGAATGGGGCGGCATAGAAATGTTTTAATAAATAAATACATAAATAAATGCATATTTGACCTGACAAAGTCAATCATTTAAAATTTCAATATGGGTTGAAGGGGTCACATGCATATTTCAACACATCTCCAATCACTCCAACTTTTGGAAAGCCTCTGAAGATCCATGAGTTATCAACTACAGGGGATAGGAATGACCTCTGGCCCTTGCTAAGGTTGCATAACAGTCCTTATTCAGTCAAGCTCTACTATAGAAAAAGATAGGACCAGTATTGCAGGAATGCCAGTGACTACTTCGGCTCCTTTGTGAAGGCGGGGTCAGCTCTCTCCTTAGGTCTGCTAATTCTTATTCACAACAGAAGCAGCAACCCATCATCACTTTGCCACAGCAAGTGTCTAGTCCTTTTCTTAAGCATGTTGTCCATTTCATAAGTTAAGGGATGCAGTCCATTTCATGTTTAGACAGAAAAAGCCATACAATCCCAGATTTCCCTAGGCATCTATGGCTGACTTGGGAATACTGAGAGTTGTGGGTTTCCCTCCCCCTTGTCTTAACATACATAAAATTGCACCATAAATGACTAAATCTGACATACAGACCCGTTGTTTATGCTGTTGAATCTAGTGCCCTCCAGATGTTTTTGACTACAACTCTAAGCATTCCTGACCATTAGCCAGAAGAGTCTGGAGGGCTAAAAAGCTGCTATAGAAACTTAAACCCATATGGTGGCCACTGAATTAAAGTAAACATAAGCAATGTTCATAAATTGTATTTTCTTCTTTTATTTACAGAATCCATTATTCTGTCTTTGTAGGTTTAAACTCATATTGGAACCCAGTTGGCTATCCTATATCCAGAAGCTAAGGAATTTCTGCAGGTGTTGCTACCTATGTATCACATTTGATGAAAATATTTATCTTCAGAAAAACTATTAATCTTCACAGGAAAAACAGAAGAAACTGCCAGAGAGACCTTCGCCACAGTTGGCCGCAAAGATTCCTTGCCCCATTAATCTCTTGAACAAACACACAGAGAATGTCTGCAGATCCAGGGCCAAAAGGCTGTAAAGACTGCACCTCAGTAGAAACAGCACAAACCCTCTACATGCCAAAACACACTGTGCAAAACACAGAGTATTTAAAGACAAAACAGAAAGCAAGCCCCATTCTCACAGCGATGCCTTGAAGTCAGTATGGGCATGTATGAAGTCAGCATGAAAATTTCACATCCTTCAATATTAGCTTTGGGACAGAACCTTTAATGCCAACCTCCTGTGCCCCAAAGCCGATCTAAATTTTCTGTATTCAACTCACCTAGCTGCTGGAAATAGTGATAATTGGTACCATTTCAAAACTATCAGAATGCTTAAAAGGGTATAATGAATTAATACTATTATATCTTAATGCAAAGCAATTCCTACAATCAAATAGCAGGGAGACATAATGAAGATTGCTGGGGAAAGCCCAGACTATGCAGGAAAATGAATGGCACATTGCTTTACCTTACCTCTCTGGGGGTACGTATACCAGATACCAAGCCAAGGATACATCTGGGCACCATGTTCCTGAGCTACTGAGTCAATGCATTCAATGACCCACCTTCTTGCACTTGTTCTGCTTTGGAGACCAAATGAAACTAGCCAAAGCAACAATCCTGCTAACTTCAGTAAGGAACATCACAATGGTAACCTTTCTCCAGTCAAATATTACTTATGCAGCAGGTCCCTTTTTTGCACACTCAGAAACAACACACATACCTCAAACCACAAAGGAATTCTGATGTCTGACCCTTAAAGTCAACCAATGCTGGGAAGCAAAGGCACACAATACAGAATCTGTTCTAAAATAAAAAATAATGCATGCAATACTACAATTCTGAAATAAACATTAGGTATTATTGGGAAATGACACTGAGAAGTACTACTACAGTCTTTGATTTTCTCAGCAGGAAATAAAGTGAAGACTAAAGTTATAAATAGATAATAGTTCCATTTTGAAATACATACATGAATAAACAGATCACACGTAACAGTTTCCTAGGAAATTAAGCTAACAATGTTAGCTTTTAAAGAACATAGTTTGTTGGATAATTATATGTAAAGAGTGCCTTACATAAGCAGTTCCTTTCCCCACTACCACCCTTTGATTTTTCCACATTTTCTTGTGTTAAAATCTGAAACTGAAACAGATTTAATTAGCACTGTTATCATTTGAAGTACACAAAATACTCAAGAAAAACACACTTGCTAGTTGCACAAGTATTCTCCCCCCCCCCACCCCACCATCCCCGTGGTGTAAAATGAGTAAATAGGTTGCAGTGTAATTTATCACTTCTAGAAAATATATACTGTACTAGAGTGATTCAATGGAGTCTATTTGTGTGCAACTCCTGTGCCACATAATCTGATTAAAATCACCTGTTTCTGGAAGGTCCCAGAGTTTGCTGGAAAGTGTATCTCAGTAAGCAGCATTATGAAGACCAAGAAGCTATCAAAACAACTTCACAGATAAAGTTGTGCAGAACTGAACAGTCAGGGTCAGTTTATTAAAAAAAGTGGGGGGGGATCCTATACAGTGAGCATCCTCCAGAGTACTGTGTAGCTCAGCTTCGACTCAGCTTAGAGATGCCTGCCTATCAAAACTCAGTGACCAGGTAAGAAGGGCATCTGTCAGAAAAGGAACCAAGGAGCCAATGGTAATTCCAATGCAACTAGAGATCTGTAGTGGATATGGGAAATAATCAATGGGACACTCAGATGCTCCACAAATATGGTCTTTATGGAAGAGTAGTGAGAAAAGGGTTAGTGTTGAAAGAAACCCATCTCAAAGCCCACTTAGAGATTGCAAGATGGCATGTGGAAGACAGAGCAAATATGTGGGGAAAAGGTTTCTCTAGTCTGATGAGACCAAACTTGAACTTTTGGGACTTGCTGCAAAACACTGTCTGTGGTGCAAAGCCGACAATGCCCTGAAAGCATCATCCCTGTGGGGAAACATGGTGGTGGCAGCATCGTGTTGGAGGGGCACTGCTTTGCAGGAGATGAGAAATTGGTCAGGATGGAGAGCAAGATGGTTTTGTCCATTTTAGAGGAAATCTGTTTTGGTGTGCAAGGTACTTGTATGGAGATTCACCTTCCAGGAGATCAATAACTCTAAAAACACAGCCGAAGTAACAATTGAGATAGAATAGTTTTGCCGGGAAGAACTAGCAAGCGTTGCAGGAGTCAGATATGCAAAGCTGATAGAGGCTTACCTCAAAAGATTCACAGCTGTAATTGCTGCCTTAGGCACTTCTACCAAGTATTGATTCAGGAGGGCAACTGTGCAATTACAAAGCACCAAGACTTGCTTTAAATTTGTGGCACAATAAAAATATTTTGCACCTCCGCTGTGTTGAGTATCTTGTGTACATCAAATGGTAGCAATGCTAATTAAATCAATTTCAATTCAAGCTTGTAAAATAAATAAAATGTGAAAATGTCAAATGGGGTGAATATTCCCGAAAGCACTGCACATGGGAAGTGATAGCTCCGCACACAGCAACAAACAGAATGATGGGTTCATGCTTTTCCATGAGACAAAGGACTATGGGATAACACTGAAAATTCCTTACAGTTATATTAAAGATATTCTATCAAAACTAAACAAGGT